TTTCCCAGAACTGTTGTATGATTTCCCTCGTGGTGTGTGGACTTGATTTTTGAGGGCTGCAACGTCTTCTTTGAGTGTCTCTATGGATTCCAACCGAGCAGAGATCTCAGCCAATTGAGCTGCAATTGGGTCGACATCTCCTTGATTTGTCGAACCCTGGGTGTTAGGTGCCATTCGAGTTTCCCGGCAATGGAACCAATGATAGAATTTGAATAATTTAGCAGGCAAATAACACTTGAATTAAACAGATAGGGCCCGATTCGAGAGGGGCTTAGTCTCCAATTACAGAACTAAGTCTGAAGATAATCTAAAACAGAATGAATGAAAAACTAATTACGAGGCCTGCCAAGTAACATAACTAAACAAGTTAATTAACTGATCCTAAAAACTTGCTAAAAAACTGCTTATCCACTACTTCTGTTTTCCTGCCAGAGAATGGGTCAAATAAATAAGCTAAGAGTGAATTAAATTAGTTCTTTTCAGCTGAAGCTTTGATCCGGTTCTTCCTTCGTGAGTAGACCTGTAACGGGGTTGTATCATACAACGCTCTTGTTTTGTAGAATTTCAAAGTATAATGTTCTACTAAAAAATTAAAAGTACAATCCCTTGGTTCAGTAGATTATCTAAGTATAATGTTGTAATATAAAAAAAAATGAAAGTACAATGCTATAATTGGGAAGCTTTTTCAAAGTGTGATGTTTTAATAAGAAAAAAGTACAATGCTATATCTCGGTAGATTTTTCAATGCATGTTTTAATAAGAAAAAAATAGTACAATGCTATATTTGGGTATATCATTCAAAGTATAGTGTTCTTATAAGAAAAGGTTTTGAAAGCACAATGCTAAGTTGAGTAGATTTTTCAAAGTACAATGCGTTAGTAAGAAAAACAAAGGAACATTGTTGTAATCAAATGAAATGAATGAAGGATGCTATCTACATAAATAAATGAAAGTACATTGCTATATCTAAGATTAGTCCGATGTTTATGTATGAATATACATGTGTATAAATCCAACAATGAGAATGAGTTGGAAGTGATCTTCATTAGAACCATGGTTCAAGAGACATTACGTGAATTGGGTGGAACCATATAGCCACTTTGACCTATGTGAACTTGGGGTACACATCCATGATTGCCTATGCTTTAAAATCCAACAAAATTCTTTACCATCTGATCAAGATTCAAAATCACTTTCTGGGATACCTTTGATGACGAGGTCGAGATTTTCCAAAAGTCATTTGAACTGCAAAATTTTAATAATAAATTCATTCCATTCTTCATTTGATGGAACAATCAAAAAGTCATTGTAGGTCTTGTTTGTAATTTCGTTTTTAGACTTAGAGCTTAATGCTTTTGTATTTTGAAATATAATTTTAGCTTACCACTCTGATTTTTCATGATCAACCCAAAGCGTCTCCTGACTGACAATAAGATTGTAGTTTTGAGAGTTAAGAATCATCTCATATGTGTTGTGTGTTAATTGCAACCTTAAATGCTTTAATAAGAAAAAAAAGTACAACGCTATATCTGGAAAGTATAATGTTCTAATAAGAATAACATTGCATGTACAATGTTATAAATTAGGTAGATTTTTCAAAGCATAATGTTTTAATAAGAAAAAACTGAATGCACAATGCTATATTTGGGTAGATCATTCAAAGTATAGTATTCTTATAAGAAAAGGTTTTGAAAGTACAATGCTAAGTTGAGTAGATTTTTCAAAGTACAACGCTTTAACAAGAAAAAGAAAGGAATATTGTTGTAATCAAATGAAAAGAATGTAGGATGCTGTACCACATAAATAAATGGAAGTACAATGCTATATCTAAGAATAATCCGATATTTATGTATGAATGAATAAAACATGTGTATAAATGTATGTATGTATCAACATTATTTTCCTCATTATATTACAATTTAGAAACGGTTTATGTTTTATCATCTAGAATATGATCTATGTGTTCACCTTAAAATGTTCAGATTCTGGGAGATTCTAGGAGAACAGGGGTTAATTCCAAGTTCAGTATCTTCGACTTTATGTTGGGGGAATCCTGTTGATTGAAGCATTGTTAGTAGTTGAAGTCAATGTGGGACTTCTTAAAAAGGACAAAAACATAGTGGACAATGAGAATCAGTTGGGAGTAATCTCCATTAGAACCATGGTTCAAGAGACATTAGGTGAATTGGGTGGAACCATAGCCACTTTGACCTATGTGTTCTTGGGGTACACATCCACGATTGCCTATGCTTCAAAATCTGGCGAAATTATTTACCATCTGATCAAGATTCCTGAATACCTTTGATGAAGAGGCCGAGTCTGCAAAATTTTGATAATAAATTCGTTCCATTCTTCATTTGATGGAACGATAAAAAAGTCATTGTAGGTCTTGTTTGTAACTTTGTTTTTAGACTTAGAGCTTAATGCATTGCATTGTGAAATATAATTTTATCTTACTGCTCTGATTTTTCATGGATCAACGCAAAGCGTATCTCGATTAACAATAAGATTGTAGTTTTCAAAGTTAAGAATCTTCTTATATGTGTTGTGTTTTGATTGCAACCTTAAATGTATTGTGGAAACAATTTTGATAATAGTTACAACTTATAGGTTTCAGGTTAAAAGTTGCCATACAATCTGTAGAAAGTTGTTATTATGGGAAAAACGTTTGGCTATATAAGGTGCACATAATGCAGGCACCCACAACAGGATGATTGTGACAAGATCTAGAGGCCCAGAAAAGTCATTTCACAAATAATTACAGCTTTCTCTGGTTTCTATTGATCATTGTATTCTGGATTGATATGGTGGTCTTTTTGGTGTTGTTGATGGTAATAATCATTTTATTAGCTAAGAAATAAATAATTATGTTTGGTGGTCACATTCTTGACTTTGGCAAAGGTTGATATGATGACTTACATAGCACACATTTTTTTGTGGAATATTTTTCTTTACATCGAATCATGGGCAGTGATGGTAATGTTAACTTTGTATTTTCCTTGATTCCATATGGTTTATGTATATATTTCAAAAAGTGATTTGATCATATAAGTGATTTCTACCAGGCAGCTGCCTAGGTGTTATTGCACTTAACATGGAGGATGTAAAACTACATAGATTTCGTTCTTCAACATTCTTGACAGCTAAGGTGAATAATATTGTTAATTGACCTTCATTTGATGCATACTGTTCCAATAAGAAACAATTAAAAGTGCAATGCTATTATGGGAGGATTTTCAAAGTATAATGTTCTGATAACTAAAACTTAGAAGTACAATGCTATAGTTGGGTATACTATCAAAGTACAATTTTGTAATAAGAAAAAAAATGAAAGTTCGATGTTATAATTGGATATATTTTTCAAAGTATAATGTTCTAATAAGAAAAGTGTTGAAATTACAAAGGTAGATATTTCAAAATGTAGTGTTCTAATAAGGAAAAACTGAAAGTACAATGCTATGATAGAGTAGACCTTCCAAAGTAATGTTCTAATAAGAAAAAAAAACTGAAAGTACAATTCTAGACTTGAGCAGATTTTTTAAACTACAACGCCTTAATAAGAAAATAAAAATAAAAAAGTACATTGTTGTGATCAAAAGAAATGAAATGAGGATACTCTACTACATAAATAAATGAGAGTACATTGGTATTCTTCCTTTTAGTCTAATATAGATGCATGTATTTATATATAGGTATGAAAGTATGTATGTATATCAGTATGAATGCTTGTGCATTATTTTCCAGGTATTATTACAACTTGGAAATGGTTGACCTTCTATCATCCAGAATATAATCTCTGTCTTCATCTTAAAATCTACAGATACCAGAAGAACTGATGATGAGGTCGAGACTTTCCCATTATCAAGAATAATATGAACTGCAAAATTTCAAACAACCCTAAAATCTATGCCAAGATATCTTATTTGTCAGCATTCATGTCTCAAGTATGAGAGGTTTTAGGAAAGAAAAATCACATCACATTTTTCATTTTCACTCTGTTGTGTTGTGAGTGTGAGAGTCAAGACCTATTCATATTTCGTAATTTCTTATTTCCAAAATAATATTGAAGGATGATTCTAGACAGATTCCAAACAATTAAGATTATATTATTAATTTCAGATTTTCTATTTTTATAACATTTGACATACAACATATTCCAAACAATAATTCAAAAGAAAAAAAAAAAAAAAATCCCACATCCATGACAACATCACTCAGATTCCAAATTCGGAATGAAGTATACTTAATAGAATAGACTTGAGGATTGAAGACAAATTACAATGAACTATATAATCTATTAATTAAAAATAGAGATGCAAAATAAACAAAAATCACAAAATTGAATTCATACTCATACCTGATTATGACAGTGATGTGAAAACTTTGAGCGTGATTCAACCTTTGTAGACGAACGATTTCCCCTTTTTGGTCGCTCCTGCCCTCTTTTTGATTTTTAAATCCTAATGGACCACAGCAAAATGTGATTCCTGAAACGATGCCTCCTGCCACTCTTCGTGGGCCCCTGGCTGTAGACGCAGTTGTATCCATTTCTTAAGAAGGAACCAAATAATCATATGCCATGTGGTCATGCAGACCCAGAGGTTGCACCATGACCTAGGCGGGGCCTATCAAGCTCTGGTGCCTGGTGGTAAGGTGCCCAGAAACACCGGAAACTCATGGAACAATGCCATTAATTTCAACATAATCAAGATATTTAAAAAGAAAAAAAGGTAAGTCATCTCTTTAAACTCGCACATCCAAAGTCAAAACACGCCTTATAGTTTAGATCTAGCAAAATAAACAAAATAAAATTCACTCTTTACTATTATTAATGGATTCCAAGAGTTGAAATTTTATCAAAACAATAAAATTCTCTCATCCCTAAAAAAACAATTTAATTTTACCAAGTCAACCTGCATCTTAATTTGTAGTCGATTCTATAGTCCCCAATGGTTTGACACCCACCCTAAGACACCAAGGGGAAATACAGGGAAGTGGAAATGGAAACAATATTCTTGAAACCCATCTTCTTCTGCATTTCCCTTTGTCTTCCTGTCAGAAATGGTAAATATGGTAAATATTTTCACAGCTGTTATGCCTTATATATATCTTGAAATAAAACTATTCAGATAACTAAGTGAAAGACACATGTAATTGTTCAGATAAATAAATTTACAGTTCCTTGACTAAACAAGTGGTTTGGCTTCTCCACAAAATTCCAAAAGTTTTCCAACCACACCCATCACCTTCACCTTCACATTATCCATTATCTTCTTAATATAAACTCTTACCATGATCATCCCCATTCATCTCATCCAAATTTCTTTGCAATCGTTTTCACAAGAGCTTTGCCCAACAAAATATTGATCTTATACGATTCTTCATTTCAATGGCCTCTTCTTCAACTTCATCCATTCATAAGTGCTTTAAGTATGACGTGTTTTTGAGTTTTAGGGGTGAAGACACTCGTACGAATTTCGTTGATCATCTTTATCAGGCTCTTAACCAAAAAAGCATTCATACATACAAGGACGACCAGAGAATCAAAAAAGGTAAAAACATCAATGATGAACTCATCAGATCCATTGAAGACTCAAAACTCTACATCATTGTTTTCTCCAAAAACTATGCCTCGTCATCTTGGTGCTTGGAGGAACTTGTTAAGATAATGGAGTGCCAAAAGAAAAATGAGCATACCGCTTACCCCTTGTTCTATGATGTGGAACCTTCAGAAGTCCGCAAACAAAAAGGGGCAGTGGCAGAAGCCTTTGCAGAACATGAAAAGGAAGAAGCTGCTGGGAAATGGAGAGAGGCTCTGAAAGAAGCAGCGAATCTCTCTGGATGGGAGTTAAAGAAGACTGCTGATGGGTAATTTCTACAATATTCTTGTATATTGAATCTTTCTGATATAGCATATAACGTGGATGTAAAACGGCTTGTACATGGCATCTTAGATTGTCAAAATTTTACTCAAGTTTTGTTATCTTTTCATATAGGGTTGTGTGTTATATATCCGAAAGTAACTGCTCATGTGGGATTTCGAGTGTGCTAACTGAATCTTCTTGAAAATACAGGCATGAAGCTATATTCATCAAACAGATAGTTGAAGAGCTTTCACTAGATTTACGATCCATCAGATTCAATTTTGATGAAAAATTAGTTGGAATGGAGTCCCGGATCAAGGAAGTTGCATCATCTTTAGGAGAGGGATTTGATGATGTTCGGATGATTGGAATCAAGGGGATTGGAGGTGGTGGGAAGACAACTTTGGCCAGAGCTATTTTTGATCAAATAGCTATTCAATTCGAAGGTAAAAGCTTCATTGAGAATGTCAGAGAAGTTTCAAATGCTTCTTTGTTTGGTTTAAAGACATTGCAAAATCAAGTCCTTTCAGATGTCTTAAATGATAAAGATTTTAGAGTTAGTAGTGTTTATGATGGGAAACACATGGTGAAGAGAATGCTGCGTGATAAAAAAGTTCTTGTTGTTCTAGATGATGTTGATCATATAGACCAGCTTGAGGCGCTAGCCAGTGAGCCTAATTGGTTTAAGCCGGGAAGTAGGATTATCATTACAACAAGAGATGAACAAGTGTTGGTAGCACACCGAGTGAAGTTCATTCATGATGTCAATCTTTTATCAGATAAGGAAGCAAGTTTCCTCTTCAATGGGTATGCATTTGGGGGAGAGATTCCAATTCAAGGGTATGAAGATCTATCAAGACAAGTTGTACGTTATGCAGCTGGTCTTCCCTTAACAATCAAAGTTCTGGGTTCGTTTCTTTGTGGTAAAAATGAGCCTGAATGGATAGATGCTTTAGACAGACTAAAAACGATTCCATTAGCAGAAACTCTGAAAAAGTTAGAATTAAGCTATATCGGTCTAGAGGAGGATCACAAGGAAATATTCCTAGATGTTGCATGCATGTTTAAAGGTTGGCAGAAAGACTTAGCAATAGCAACTCTTGAAATATGTGGATTTCATGCTAGAACTGCTTTAAAAGTTCTTGAGCAAAAATCTCTCATAACTACCTATGATAATTCTGATTCTCATAAGTGTCTGGGCATGCACGACCATATTGAAGAAATGGGCAAGAATATTGTTCGTTGTGCACACCCGGATAAGCCACAAAAACATAGTCGATTGTGGGTTCGTGATGAAATTGAAGATATTTTTGCTAATGACTTGGTAAGGATCAAGTTTCTTTGTAAGTTGGGAAAAACTAACATTTTCATTTGCTGCAACATATATAAATTTCATGGTGATTGCTTTTGGATTACAGGGTACTAAAGCAATAAAATGTATACGGTTCTACACCAATAAACTCAATCCGTATACTGTTGTAAAAGGTCTTGGAAAGATGAAGGAACTTAGATTTCTCTCTGTGGTTTTCGGTGGTCATTTCTGTAATACAGAATCTGATATAGTCAGCCCAGATTTTCCAAATGCTTTAAGATATCTGGATTTTAATCAGTACCCTTTTAGGTCTTTACCCAAAACATTTCTGGCAAATAATCTTGTTGCACTTAAGATGGCTCACAGCAAAATTGTACAACTTTGGGAAGGAGGAGAAAGAAAGGTAAAATTATGGTTGATTGATTGTTTTGCATGATTCATTATAGTGTTATACATCCTTGTTTTGTTATTACATCAATATTCATCGTGTTTTTTTTTGGGCTTATATTAGGTTTTTAGGAAACTCAGATTCCTTGACCTCAGTTGTTCGATGCTTAGTATCCTTGACCTCGGGCTTACTCCAAATCTTGAGACCTTGAATCTTCGACGATGTACTGATTTGGTAGAACTTCACATGCACATTGGATGTTTAAAGCTCATATCGGTCGACCTCACTCATTCAAGGTTGAGGACCCTTGACCTTGGTCTGGTAACGAATCTTGAGATTTTAATTCTTGCTGGATGCCATAATTTGGTAGAACTTCACATGCCCCGTAGATGTATAAATCTAATATCCCTACAACTCAGTAATTCAAAGTTGAGGACTCTTAACATTGGGTTGACTCCAAATGTCGAGTCTTTAGATCTTAATAATTGTTACTGTTTAGAAGAATTTTACATGGCCGGTGAATGTCAAAAGCTCACCAAACTCGACATTAGTCATTCAAAGTTGAGGACCCTTGACATCGGGCTGACTCCAAATCTTGAGTATCTAAATCTTGAAAATTGTTACTATTTAGAAGAAATTCACATGGCTGGTGAATGTCCAAAGCTTACCAACCTCAACATAAGCCATTCAAAGTTGAGGACCCTTGACCTTGGTCTGACTCCAAAGCTAGAGACGCTAGATCTTAAAGAATGTTATAATCTGGTAGAAGTTCACACTTCTATTGGATGTCTAAAAAAACTTGTCCACTTAGACTTAAATGGCTGTTTGAGGTTTAAATCTTTTGTGTTTAACATAAAGATTTATACTTCTTGTGCTCTGGATGAATCACTTGAGGTTGGTCCTTTAGCTGACTTACATCTGATTGCAGAGTCCCTAAAAAAATGCCCATTTCACCCCAACAGTAATCTGCCCAAGTTCCGGTTTAGTTGTTTATATAAACAAGACCGACATTCGTTGACTAGGAATGCTGAGATGCTTATTTCTATAGGTATGTGTGTTTGCACAAACCTTGAGACGTTTTCAGATTGTATTTGTGGGTTACAACGTTTAAGGAAGCTTAAAGTGGAAGGCAAATTTCTAGAGGTACCCAAGGACCTTGACCAGTTAGAATGTCTACAGGAACTAACTTTTAGGTCTACAAAGGCTACCCATCTTCTGGATAGTATTTGTATGTTGAAACATCTTAAGTCTCTTGAACTTATGTATTGTTGGTTGCTTGAGAAGTTACCAGAGGATCTTGGGCGATTAGAATGTTTAGAAAAGCTAGAATCATCATATACCAAGATTAAATATCTTCCGGAGAGCATATGTATGTTGAAACGTTTGAAATCTCTCAAACTTAATTCTTGTTGGTGGCTTGAGAAGTTACCTGAGGATCTTGGCCTCTTAGAATGTTTAGAGGAGCTAGATTTGTCATTTACAAAGATTAAACATCTTCCGGATGGCATTTGTATGTTGAAACATCTGAAATATCTTAAACTTTATGATTGTTCACCGCTTGAGAAGTTGCCACATAATTTTGGCCAGTTAGAATGTTTAGAGAACCTAACCCTAAGTAAATGTAAATGTATACAAGATATCCCAAATAGCATCCTTAAGATAAAATGTCTTAAACATATCCATCTCCGGCATTGTATTCGAGTTGAGAAATTGCCTGAGGAACTTGGAAGGTTAGAATGTTTAAAAAGGTTAGATATAGAAGGTACAAGCATAAGTCATCTTCCACAGAGTATTCTTTTGTTGAAAGGTCTCTGTATTATTGGGTCGAGAGAACTTCTTCAGTCATCTGGTTTTAAATCAGAGATCCGGAATCAAAAACAGGACACGTCATGCTATGTGGTGGTGGGATGATTTTGAGAAGCTCGAAAGACCTGTTAAAGCCAGTTCACAAAGAATTATTGTAACAGGTACTTTCTCTGTTTTCTAGTGTTCATCGCACTTTGATTTCAAATTTGACATTGATCTCACAATAAGTAAATCATAAGCTAAAAATAAACAACTTATATTTAAAAGCAATACATGTACTATACATACGAGAAGAATCCTTGATATAGTTCTAAGCATGGTTTCATTGAGTATCTCATTTATCGTTTGTGTTAATATTGGAGCCTTATCCGATTTGAAAAACTGGCCAGATTTCACAGATCCAACAGGTGAAATTTCTTTTTCATGCATTGTCAGTTTTAAAATTATGTGATTAATTTTTTTTTTTCTGGCCAAATTAATCTGGCTTCCTTATAATAGGAACAATGAAGGACCACATGTTTCTTCACTTGAGTCATCTACCACCCAGAGGTTCTCAAGAAGAGACATCCTTGTGTTTCTGGAACTGCTGCCATCTTTGGCTCTTTGCTGGTGTTAATGTTACAAAGGAGCCAATTCCAGTTTTACCTACTGTCCATTACAACATGGGTGGAATCCCAACTAATTCCCATGAGGAGGTATATCTTGATATGCAAAACCGTAAGGGAAGCTAATTAACAAAGTGTGGATCAGGAACGCAGTTGGCTAGTGGGGGTTTTCTTGACACCCCTCATTGTCACATTTTTCTGCATACAGCAAAATTCATGTACATAATATCTTCTTAATTTTGGGAAGCAGCAATTCTCATTTGTCAACATCATCATCGACTGTTGGCTGGTCAACTGAATCTATGTGAAGATATCTTATGTCAGCATTCATGTCTCAAGTATGAGAGGTTTTAGGACAGGGAAATCACATCACATTTTTCATTTTCACTCTGTTGTGTTGTGACAGTGAGAGTCAATTTCATAATTTCTTATTTCCAAACAATATTGAAGAGTGATTCTAGATAGATTCAAAACATTTAAAATCAAATTATTTCAGATTTTCTATTTTTGTAACATTTGACATCTAGCATATATTCCAAACAATAATTCAAAAAAATCTATGACAAATCACACAGATTCCAAATATGGAATGAAGTATACTTAATAGACTGAAGATTACAGACAAATTACAATGAACTAGATAATCTTTAATAGTAATTAGCGATGCAAAATAAACAAAATCCAGAAAATGAATTCATACTCATACCTGATTGTGACTGTGTGATTGTGACTGATGTGAAAAATTTGAGTGTGATTCAACCTTTTTATACATAAGTCGCTGATTTCTAACGGTTGAGACCTTGGATATAACCCAAAACCTAAAGGACTGCTCCAGCCCTTTTTTTTATTTTCATTTTCGACAATTTTTGATTCCTGAAACGATGCTTCCGCCTCTAAGATTTTTGGGCCCCTGGATGATGCTGTAGACGTAGTTGGGTCCATTAACATTTTCGGGTCCCTTTATCGGCCCTGGGTGGTCACCATAATCAAGATATTTATAAAAAAAAAAAAAAAAAAAAAAAAAAAAAAAACGTAAAATCACTTTGAAATCGCAAGCCCAAACACGCTTGAGGATTCCAAGACTTGAAATTTTATTTAAATAATTAAATTGCCTCGAACCCTAAAACAATTTACTTTTACTAAGTCAACCTTCAACTTATTTTGTACTCGACAGTCCCCACTCACGTTTGACATCCGGCCATCTATGGAAAGGGGAAATACAGGAAAGAAAATACTTTTCAGAACTATTATTCCTTAATATATAATATTCTTGAAACTCATCTTCTTCTTCTGCACTCCCCTTTGTCTTCCTGACAGAAATGGTAAATATGGTAAATATTTTTCACAACCGCTATGCCTTAATTATATATAACTCGAAATAAAACTATTTAGGTAAGTGAAAGACACATGTAAATTGAAATGTTCCTTGATTTTTAAATTGTTCAGATAAGTAAATTTACAGCTCCTTGAGTACACAAGTGGTTTGGCTTTCTCCACCGAATTCCAAAAGTTTTCCAGCCACACCCACACCCATCCCCATCTCACATTATCTTTTAATCTTTTATCTTCTGGTTAATCTACACTCTTATGATGATCATCCAGATTCATCCCATCTGAATTTCTTGGCAATTGTTTCGCATAAACTTAGCCCAACAAAGATTTATTTTTATAGGATCCACCCTTCATTCCAATGGCGTCTTCTTCAACTTCAACCGTTCACAGGAGCTTTAAGTATGATGTGTTTTTGAGTTTCAGGGGTGAAGATACTCGTACTAACTTCGTTGATCATCTTTATCATGCTCTCCAGCAGAAAAGCATTCTTACTTACAAGGACGATGAGAAAATAAAAAAAGGTAAAAAGATCAATGATGAGCTCATCGGATCGATTGAAGATTCAAAATTCTACATCATTGTTTTCTCCAAGAACTATGCCTCTTCATCTTGGTGCTTGGATGAGCTTGTGAAGATAATGGAGTGCCACAGGACGACAACAGAGCACACTGCTTACCCTGTCTTCTATGATGTCGAACCCTCTGAAGTCAGAAAACAAAGTGGAGCAGTTGGAGAAGCATTTGCCAAGTACGAAATGGAAGAGGCTGCTGGGAAATGGAGAGTGGCTCTGAAAGAAGCAGCAGATCTTGCTGGGTGGGAGTTGAAGAAGACTGCTGATGGGTAATTCCTTCATTAGATCTATGCAATGTTCTTTGTATTTTGTTTATTTATGATCTAGCATATAACCTGGATTTATAAGGCTCCCACATGGCATCTTATATTGTCAAATTTTAACTCAAACTGAGTCTTGTCCACACAGCCGGTCCAAAGATATAGTAGGCCCAAGATGAAAAGAAAAAACAGGTACCCCAAAAATCATAAATATAGTAAAAATTAAATTAAAAATAGACACACTGTTATGATATATGATTAACAGTTATGCTTTTTTTTTATGTAGGGTTGTATCATGTATGTCATAGATCTGAAAGTAACCTGTCATGTCGAGTTTTGAGTAGACTAATTGAATCATTTTTAAAATACAGGCATGAAGCTAAATTCATCCAAAAAATAGTTAAAGAGCTTTCATTAGAGTTACGTTCCGTCAGTTTCAACATTGATGAAAAGTTAGTAGGAATGGAGACCCGGATCGAAGATCTTGTACCATCTTTAGGAATTGGTTGTGATGATGTCCGCATGATTGGGATCAAGGGGATGGGAGGTGGTGGAAAGACAACTTTAGCAAGAGCTCTTTTTGATCACATATCCTTTCAGTTTGAAGGTAAAAGCTTTGTTGAAAATGTAAGGGAAAATGCTTCTTCATTTGGTTTAAAGTCTTTGCAAAAGCAGGTCCTTTCAAATGTCTTAAATGACAACATACATGTAAGTAGTATTTATGATGGGAAACAAATGATGAAGAGGATGATGAGTGATAAAAAGGTTCTTATTGTTCTAGATGATGTGGATCATATAGACCAACTTGAGGCGTTATCTGGTGAGCTTAATTGGTTCAAGCTAGGAAGTAGAATTATCATCACAACAAGAGATGCACAAGTCCTGGTAGCATACAGAGTGGAGTTCATTCATGATGTCTATTTGTTATCGGATAAGGAAGCAATTTGCCTCTTCGATCAGTATGCCTTTGGGAGAGAGATTCCAATTCAAGATTATGAAAATCTATCAAGACAAGTTTTACGTTATGCCGCTGGTCTTCCCTTAACAATCAGAGTTTTGGGTTCATTTCTTTGTGGTAAAAATGAACTTGAATGGATAGATGCTCTAGAACGACTAAAAACGATTCCGTTATCAGAGACTCTGAAAAAATTGGAACTAAGCTATATCGCTCTAGAGGAGGATTACAAGGAAATGTTTCTAGATGTTGCATGCATCTTGAAAGGTTGGCAAAAAGATGATGCAATCAAAGCACTTGAAAGCTGCGGATTTCATGCTAGAAATGGTTTAAGAGTTCTTGAGCAAAAGTCTCTCATAACTATTAATTATCATAATTCACATTATTCCCATAATGTGAATTATGTGGGCATGCATGACCATCTTCAAGAAATGGGCAGAAATATTGTTCGCCGCTCGCTCCCACCTCACGAACATAGCCGATTGTGGATTGATGAAGAAATTGGAAATGTATTGGCTAATGATTTGGTAAGGATTTTTTTTAAGTTAGGAAAAACTAAAACATTTTCATTTGTTACAACAGATTCATGGCGACTTATTTTGAATTGCAGGGTACCAAAGCGACAAGGTGCATACTACTCGACACTCAAAATAGCAATCGGGAATTTGATCTCAAAGGTCTTAGAAAGATGAGGGAACTTAGATTTCTCTCCATGGGAATTGCTGGTTATCAGTATTGGGATTCGTATATAGTCAACCCAGAATTTCCAAATGCTTTACGATATTTGCATTTGATGTATTACCCTTTTAGGTCTTTACCCATAACATTTCAAGCAAATAACCTTGTTGCACTTGAGATGTTTGGCGGTGAAATCATACAACTTTGGGAAGGGGGAGAAAGAAAGGTAGACTTATGGTTGATTGATTGTTTTGCATGAATTTGATTGCTTTTTGTTGTTTTACCAACACTGATCTTGCTTTTTTCTAATCTTAGGTTCTTAACAAGCTGAGAATCCTGGACCTCAGTTGTTCAATGTTGACTACCCTTGACCTTGGCATTGCTCCAAATCTTGAGAAGTTGGATCTTGGAATGTGTTCTAATTTGGTAAAACTTCACATGTCTGTTGAATGTTTAAAGCTCGTATACATCCACCTCAGAGATGCATGTTTGATAAGGACCCTTGACCTTAGGCAGGCACCAAATCTCGAAGAGTTGATTCTTGACTTTTGCGACGATTTGGAAAAACTTAAGATGCCCAATAGATGTCTAAATCTCCGATCTCTACAACTCAATAATTCAAAGTTGAGGACCCTTCACATTGGGCAGACACCAAATCTCAAGAATCTAGATCTTAATAGGAATTATTGCCTGGAAGAACTTGACATGGCAGATGAATGTCAAATGCTTGCGAAACTCAACATTAGTCATTCAAAGTTGAGAACCCTTGACCTTGGAACAACTCCAAATCTCGAGAGGTTGGATCTTGAAGAATGTTATAATCTGGTAGAAATTCGCCCTCCCGTTGGTGGTCTGAAAAAGCTTGTCAACTTACACTTAAGTGCGTTGGGGTTTGGATATTTTTCGTTTAAGATGAAGGATTATACTTGTAGTGTTGATGAATCACTTCAGGTTGGTCCTTTAGCTGAGTTACATTTGATGGCGCAGTCCCTAGAAAGTTGCCCGCTTCACCCCGAAAGTAACTTGCCAAAGTTTCGGTTTAGATGTTTTTATAAAGAAGATCGACCCTCATTGACTAGAAATCTTGAGATGCTTTTTTCTGTTGGTATGTGTGCTTGCACAAACCTTGAGACGTTTTCAGGAAGTATGTGTGGGTTACGGCGTTTAAGAAGGCTTAAACTTGAAGGCAATATTATAGAGGTGCTCAAGGATCTTGACAAGTTAGAATGTCTCGAGGAGCTAATTTTATCGTATACGGAGATTACGTATCTTCCGGATAGCATTTGTATGTTAAAAAATCTGATATCTCTCAATCTTAAATGTTGTTTTCTTCTTGAAAAGTTACCCGATGATCTTGGCCAATTAGAATGTTTAGAGAATCTTGATTTGACAGATACATATATTAAACGTCTTCCAGATAGCACTTGTATGTTGAAACATTTGGAATATCTCAAACTTAATGGCTGTTCATTTCTTCGGGATTTACCTGAGGAACTCGGACTATTAGAATGTTTAAAAGAGTTGGATATAAATGGTACAAGCATACGTTATCTTCCACAGAGCATTGATTTATTGAAAGGCTTGCGTATTTTTGGATCAAGAGAGCTTCATAGGCGTTGTGGGTTTAAATCCGAGATACAAACCTCAGAATACTTTGACAACTCCTTTTACGTAGTGGTGGGATGAATTTTGAAAAGTTTGGAAGACCTGCAAAAGCCAATTCACAAAGGACTATTGTAACAGGTACTCTCTGTTTTCGATATATCATCGTACTTTGATTTTAATTATGAAATCGATTTGACAAGGGTTAATTTCAGCCAAAGATTAACAATTATATTAAAAAAAAGCAAGTACTATAATATAACAAGAATCTGTAGAATATCTTATTCATTGTTTTGGGTCTAGTGCAAATTACCGAACAAGTAAAATTTTATGCCCTTTTTCCATTTTCTGCTTTTGAAATTGTATTGGTGTTGCTATTGGTCCTAACATACGATCCATTTCCTGCAATCAAGAGTTCCAGTGACCAGGAAGCAATCAGCACACAAGCTGATTTTCCAACTACTTTTTGAAACCTATTTGGTTTAATCATACCATGTAATTGACTCTTGTCTTTAGTATATTGAGTTTCTTTAACCATCATACATTTTGTTTCATTTGTAAACAAATGTCAAAAAGTGGTCCAAAATGACCCCTAGCAAACGAGCAATTTTTTGATAAGAAAAAGTTTTTTTTTTCTTTTTACTTTTAGTCATAATATGATGTTATTTTATATTGTTTGATCAGGCCATGAAACCTAACACTGTTTCTTGTGGAATATTTGTCTTTGGATCTAATCATAGGTAGTGATGGTATCATGGTATGTTAACTCTGTTTTTCCCTTGAAATAATATTGTTTACATAAGTCAAAAAGTGATTTGATCATATCATTGTTATCTTTCAGGCAGCTACTATGGTGATATTGCACTGAACATGAAGGATGGGATGCTGCATATATTCTGTTCTTCTTCAACAATCTTGGCAACTGGGGTTAATATTTGTTAATTGAAATTAATTTGGTGTTTGTATAGGCAATGTACTTATCATGTGATGCCATTTTATTATGTTGTCAGGGTTATGGTAGATCATATATAAATCTCAGCAACCTCTACTCATAATCTGGTCTCTCTATATATCTAGATATATAGGTCTTCCTCTTGAGGTGTAACTTAACTTTATTTCATCATTCCCATGAATTTCTATTAATAAATAATCGTTTCACACTACTAGAAAACAGGAAATAGAGTACGACTGTTTTGGGGTATAGAATAAGCAAGAACGGTTGTCTTATATTGTTACATATCAATCAATTTAAGTCGTTAGAGTTTGTTTTAGCCTTATGGGCATTTTAGTTTTTTCAATAAAGTTTTTCTGTTACAAGTAGTTATAGACAGTTGGTGTACTTATATATTCCAGTATAGATTTCTGTTGTAATTTAAGCATTCAGATAGCAAGAATCAAATACAATTTTCTCTCTCAATCATAACATCACAACATGGTATCAGATTAGGGTTCTTCTTCGATCTTCATCTGTTCATCTTCAATTTTCATCTGTTCCTCAATTCATCCTGTATTCATCTTTTTCTTATAATCATGTCTTCATCAATTCCTAATTCTTCTACAACCATTGATCATACCGGTCCTTATTTCATTGCTTCTTCCGATAATCCAAATTCTGTTCTTGTTACCTCTGTTTTCAATGGTGTTGGGTTCAATTCATGGAAGAGATCAATGATGATCTCTTTAGCTGCTAAGAACAAAATTAGATTTATCGATGGCTCAATCACGAAACCTTCCGATTCAGATCCTTAATTTTATAATTGGTTTCGAATTAATTCAATGGTGATCAGTTGGATATTAAACTCTCTTACACAAGAACATTGCTGATAGTGTTCTATTTCTTCAAACTGCTAGCGAAATCTGGACTGAACTTAATCATCGCTATGCTTAATCCGATGAGGCTTTACTTTACCAAATTCAACAACAGCTGTATTCAATTTCACAAGGATCTGAAGATTTTTCGACTTATTTCACCAAATTAAGTAAAATCTGGGATGAATTAAGGATCGTTCAAGGAATTCCTCCATGTTCCTGTGCTTCTGCTACTGCAATCAATAAACTCCTTAAAGATCAACGTCTCATTCAACTTTTAATGGGACTTAATGAGTCTTATAAGGTCATCCGTGGTCAAATACTAATGATGAAGCCATTACCAACAATCTCGACTGTGTATTCTTTCATTATCTAGGAAGAAAGACAAAGAGGTATTACTGCAACCTCTCTTATCAATCCAGATGCTATTTCTATGCATGTCTCTACTGATTCTTCCACTTCCAAGAAACAATTTTTTGCAACCATTGTAAGAAATCTCGTCATACGAAATCACAATGTTACAGACTCATTGGATTTCCTACTAGTTTCAAATTTACTAAAGTCAAGAAAGAAGATTCTAAACCTACAGTTCACAATGTTTTGACTGTCACTGCTCCAAACATTTCACAAGAACAATATGAACATTTGCTTCAACTTCTGAGTACTAATTCCATTACTCAAACTTCATCATTCAATCAAGTACATTCATCCATCACAGAAGGTTCTATGAATGATGGAGGTAAATCTTTTTCTTTCAGTTCTTTTGTTGCAAATGTTTCTAAATCTTCTTCTTCATTGACTCCTCATTATTCATGGATTATTCATATTGGAGCAACATATCACATTTGTTCTAATAGTTCTATTTTTCTATCCATGATTAAACTTGTTTAGTCTGAATAGCCCATCCAGACTGGTCTTCCTGATGGTCATTCCACTACTGTAACTTTCATTGGTGATGTAAAACTTCATGACACCATCATTCTCCATGGTGTTTTTTACCTACCTTCCTTCAAATACAACTTACTTTCGATAACAAAACTCACCTCTCAACTACAAACCTTGATTCTTTTTACTGATTCAAGATGTTTAATGCAGGACCCCTTCTTGAAGAGTAGATTTGCATTTGGAATCCTTAGAACAAGAGTGAATGATCTTATGTTTTTTTATCATAATTCTCTTAAGTCTACTTTGTCTTTTAATCTACCTCTTCCTTCTTGTTCTCATACAGTTGTAATAAAATCAGATTGTAATGCTTTGTTATGGCATAGATGATTTGGGCATCTTCCTGTACACAAATTACAAACTGTTTCCCTCATTCCTAATTCATATTCTACTCATAAACTTGGCATGTGTTCTGTTTGTGCTAAAGCCAAACAACATAAATTTCCCTTTCCAAAAAGTGTTACTAATACAACTACATCATTTGAAATTGTTCGTGTGGATGTATGGGGTCCCTACAAGCATACTTCTCATGATGGATACAAATACTTTCTTACTATTGTCGATGATTACAGCAGACATACATGGATTCATTTTTTGACCAATAAGAGTTATGATTTCTCATTGATTAAAAGTTTTGTTTCATTTGTTGATACTCAATTCTCAAAAAGGGTCAAATTATTCGTTCAGATAATGCCTATGAATTAGGCTCAAGCAATGAAGGTCAACTGTTCTATCAGCACAAATGCATTATTCATCAAACTTCCACACCCTATAATCCTCAACAAAATGGTTTAGTGGAGCAAAAGCATCGTTACATTCTTGAAATAGCTTGTGCTTTGTTTTTTCAATCAGGTTTGGGAGTAGCTTATTGGAGTGAATGTATACGAACTGTTGTTCATCTAATGAATCGCATGCCATCCAAAGTTCTCAACAACAAAACTCCATTTAAAATGTTGCATGGTTACAAGCCTGATCTTTCAAATCTAAAAACCTTTGGTTGTTTGTGTTTTGTTCATACTTTGGCAGTTGGCCGTGACAAATTCATGTCTCGTTCTAATTCTTGCATTTTTCTTGGGTATCGAACTGGGACAAAAGCTTACAAAGTGATGAATCTAACAAATGCACAAATATATCTTTCTAGAGATGTTAAGTTTTTTGAAGGTATATTCCCTTTGCATTCACTCATATCACCATCAATTGATTCATCATCACCCTCTTTTTTACCCACAAATTCCAAAGATACCCCTGATCAAGATTTTACGGCCAATGTACCTGTTTCTCACTTTATTCGGAATCCACCTGAACCCAACAGTGTTCCTTTAAGACGTTCAACCCGTGTCATTCAACCACCTTCTCATTTGTGTGATTATGTATGTAATCATACATTTTTAGAATGTAATTCTCATTCTTGTCACCATACTATCACCAATTACTGTCTTCATGATTTTTTTGACCAAAATTCAGTTTCTGTTCCTACAAGTTATACATTCAATGCTATTAGTCATGTTTTTGAACCGGTTTTTTATCATCAAGAAAAGGGACATCCTGAGTGGGAACAAGCTATGGCTAATGAACTAAAAGCTTTAGATGACAATCAAACATGGGATGTGGTGAAATTACCCAAAGGCAAGAAACCAATATCATGTAGGTGGGTATATAAAGTCAAATATAGAGCTGATGGAACTCTTGAAAGGCACAAAGCACGCTTGGTAGCAAAGGGCTTTACCCAAAAATAAGGAATAGACTTTCACGAGACTTTTTCTCATATTGTCAAATTTACTACAATTCGTTGTATTATTGCTCTTGCTGTTAAAAAGAACTGGCCAATTCATCAATTTGATGTCAATAACGCGTTCCTACATGGAGATTTGCACGAAGAAGTATACATGAAACCTCCTCCTGGTTTTAATATTTCATCACCATCATTAGTATGCAAACTCAAGAAATCTTTATATGGCTTAAGACAAGCTTCAAGGCAATGGTATTCTAAGATTTCTACATTATTAAGGTCTAAAGGGTATCCTCTTTCTCAAAATGATCATTCGGTGTTTCTCAAGAAGACAAATACATCTTTAATTGTTGTTGCTGTTTATGTGGATGACATTTTAGTTACAGGAAATGATTCATCAGAAATCAATAGTTTGAAAGCTTTTTTTCATAATCAATTTCAAATCAAAGATCTGGGTTTTCTTCATTTTTTTCTTGGATTAGAATTTCAGTCTACTACTGATGGAATGATTATACATCAGCAAAAGTTCATGAATGAACTATTGAATCTTTATTCAATAGATTCCACCAAATCTGTCAAAACTCCATTGCCTTCCAAATCCCAATTGACACCTCTTATGAAAGATCCTCTAAAAGATCCAACAACTTACAGACAATTGATTGGAAAATTGAATTTTTTATTACACACACGTCCTGATTTGTCTTATGCTATTCAACATCTAAGTCAATTTAATCAAACTCCTTGTCAAGAACATTACGAAGCTACTCTTCATGATCTACACCACCTCAAAAGTAATCTCACACAAGGATTGTTTTTCAACAAAAAGGAGTCTTTTCAAGTTGAAGCTTTTTGCGACTCTGATTGGGCTACTTTCTCAATAACACGAAGATCTGTAAGTGGTTTCTTTATACTCTTTGGAGGTGTTCCAATTTCATGGAAATCAAAAAAGCAAACAACTATCTCTTTATCATCCACCGAGGCTGAATATCGATCCATGAGACGAGTTACTGCTGAGTTGGCTTGGCTCAGTAGATTGCTTGATGAATTACAAGTTCCTAATGTTACTCCTATACCATTGAAGTGTGATAATAAAGTTGTAATCTTCATTGCTCGTAACCCAGTATTCCATGAGCATACCAAACATATCGAAATAGATTGTCACTATGTTCGAGAGAAGTTACAACAAGGTTTAATCAAACTATCTCATATTCCTACTACCCATCAGTTGGCAGATGTTTTCACCAAATCTTTGATTGGTTCTCAACATCAACATGCTACATCCAATCTAGGACTTCATCCATACTCTCCAAATTGAGGGAGGGTGTTACATATCAACCAGTTTAAGTCGTTTGAGTTTGTTTTAGCCTTAAGGGCATTTTAGTCTTTTCTATAAATTTTTTATGTTACAAGTAGTAATAGACAGTTGATGTGCTTATATATTCCAGTATAGATTTCTGTTGTAATTTAAGCATTCAGATAATAAGAATCAGATACAATTTTCTCTCTCAATCATAACATCACAACATCTATTGGGGGGTACTAGATTTGATCACATAATAGAGTACATTTAAAGAACCAAACCAAACAAATTAAATCAAATCACATGCTTATAATATGAATAAGCTACAATACAAATACAATAGTATTTGGTGGAATCATATAAAGAGGCCTTCTCATCACTTGC